ACAAAAAACTAAACTAGCTTTTAAGCTTCTCTATGTCTAAGGACAGTTTGTGTCAAGAGGTATCTTAAATCCACATCTGGCTTCACTCTTTCATTGATACAATGGCACCACCAATCTTGCAGCCAGGTCTCAAACATTTAATAATGCAGCAATACCTTTCCATCCTTCCCAGTACTGACAGAGTGCCAGCCCACTTAAGACTCAATGAATGTGGAATAAGGGGTCCAATATCCTTGTTAAGTCCACCATAGAATCATAGAACATGTCTGGTTGGAAGGGACTTCATCTAGTCCAAGCCTCCTGCAGTAAGCATGGAAATCTTTAATTAAATCAGATTGCGCAGATCCTCATCAAGCCTGACCTTGAATGTCTCCAGGGATGGGGCCTCCACCACCTCTCTAGAAAACCTGTTCCAGTGTCCCACCACCCTCATTGTAAAGACCTTCTTCCTCGTGTCTAATCTAAACCTACCCTGCCCTCATTTAAAACCATTGCCCCTTGTGCAATCGCAATACGCCCTTGCAAACAGTCGTAGAATCATAGAATGGTTAGAGTTGGAAGGGACCTTAAAGATCATCGAGTTCCAACCCCCCTGCTATAGGCAGGGAGACCAAGTTGCCCAAAGCCACATCCAGCCTGGACCACTGGAACACTTCCAGGGATGGGGCATCCACAGCTTTCCCGGGCAACCTGTTCCAGTGTCTCACCACTCTCACATTAAAGAATTTATTTCTAGTATCTAATCTAAATCTCCCCTCTTTCAGTTTAAAACCATTACTCTTTGTCCTATCACTACACTTCCTGACAAAGAGTCCCTCCCCATCTCTCCTGTAGGCCTCCTGCAGGTACTGGAGGGCTGTTATAAGGTTTCCCTGGAGCCTTCTCTTCTCCAGGCTGAACAACCCCAACTCTCTCAGCCTGTCTTCCTGGGAGAGGGGCTCCAGCCCTCTTATCATCTTTGTGGCCCTCTCTGAACTCTCTCCAATGGGTCCATGTCCTTCTTATGTTGGGGTCACCAGAACGGGACACAGTACTCCAGGCGGGGGCTTACGAGAGCAGAGTAGAGGGGCAGAATCACCTCCCTCAACCACCTGACCACGCTTCTTTTGATGCAGCCCAGGACATGGTTGGCTCTCTGGGCTGCCAGCGCGCACTGCCGGCTCATGTTGAGCTTCTCATCCACGAGCACTCCCAAGTCCTTCTCCTCAGGGCTGCTCTCAGGCATTCTCCACCCAACCTGTATTTGTGCCTGGGATTGCCATGTGCCAGGTGCAGGACCCTGCACTTGGCCTGGTTGAACTTCACGAGGTTTGTATGGGCCTACCTCTCCAGCCTGTCCAAGTCCCTCTGGATGGCATCGCTTCCCTCCAGCGTGTCGGCCGTGCCACACAGCTGGGAGTTGTCGGTAAACTTGCTGAGGGTGAAGTCCCTCCCAGCTTTGTTGTAGGCCCCCTTCAGGTACTGGAAGGCCACTCTAAGGGTTCCCCAGAGTCTTCTCTTCTCCAGGCTCAACAACCCCATCAGACCAACCACTTTTAAAAAGAAATGCAAGACAATACTAGGGATTTTAAATGGGGTATCAGAAATCTTAATCTGAAGACTCACGTTAGGCAAGGAGGAATGCCTGCAGTTCAGGACCAAACTTGCTTCAACTCAGCATGTTCTTCTATTTTCACTTTGCAATCTTGGGTATGAAGACTATTTCTAATGCTCATACATTTCAAAATCTCTGTATATATTAAACTAACCCCAACTATCAAACAATCATTCTGTCTGTAATTGACTGTTACACTGTTCATGTGCCTGCATCCTGTCTTAATCTTGCACTGCCCAGGTTTTTAACTTATATGTGTGTGTGTGTGTCTTGTCCTCCTGTTGGTAATTATAAGCATAATAATGTTATTTAATTATTTGTATTGCGTTCTTTGTTCTGCTTCATTTCTGGTTTTGTGATGCAGATATTTTTTCAGTTTCTTGGCACAAATTGTGCAGAAATGCTGACTAATGTAGGCATCCTTCTTCCACACGCTTTTGCAGATGAGGGAGCTCATTAAATCATTACACTTACTCATGTCTAAGTTTACTCATATGCACATATCCTTGCAAGCTACAAGCTTGTGATTTCTCATATCATGATAACATGGCAGTCTAATAAATAAACAGCAGCCTGCACATTCATGCATTTTTCTGTCCCCATTTGAATTACACACCTCCCACACAAAGGAGAACTGGTTATACTAGCTTAAGAATAGACACTATAAGCATGTGTACATCTTGCAAAATGTATGATTTTAGTAGGGAAGTCACTTAAAACTTGAATTGGAAAAAGCAATACTCAACTGAAGCACTTGTGCTATGTGCAAGGCCTTCAAGATGATCTACAAACCCCTAGTTAGCCCTACTGTTTCCATAAGGTAGAGATATTTGCCTCTTCTGGACAGCACAATCCTACATGAGCTCACATCCTCATTTATGTCTGGTTTCAGACACTGTCTCCTCCAGTTTTCTGTTCTACATGTTGCAGTTCACTCAGCTTGTCATCTCTTACTCTCATCTTTTACATCTCATACTCTTTACATCTGGCCTGCAAGTAAAGATGGATATTTCTCCTGCTGTGGCTGTTCATCTGGTAACCTCAAAGGTATGAGAGGGTGACCTTCCTGAGCCCTTCTGTGTGAGCAGAAGAAACGGTGCTCTCTGAGATAATGGTGGGATGCTCTGCTGCAAGAGGAATGGGATGGCTGCATGTTGCCCCTTGTTAAAGGAGGGGCAGCTGGCTGCCAGCAGAGGTAGGGCATTGGCCTTCACCAGTAAGCTTCACCCTGCTCCTAGAGCAAATGAAAAAGACTGCATGCTTTCCAGAAAGGACAAACCCAGCATGTGTGACACGAGACTCTTTCACAGACCTCTTGACATGGCAGCTGCTTTGTGCTTGCACAAATGATGTGGTGTGACTGTAATAAACATGCAAGATCTATGGCAGAGTGGTCATACAGCCCCCTGGCATCAACTCTATGGCTGGTCTTGTGGTAGTTTTCTGTCCTCCTGATGGAACAGCTTAGTCTGTCTCCTTTTGCCCTCATTGAGAAGGTTTGGGCTGTTTCACAGTATTCTCATGGGACAGTGCATAGTGCACTTTCAAAGGACCACTGGGACCCTGCAAACATGAACAAATTTCCTCTGGGAATGCAGAGGGGAACTGTGGTGCACAGGATACAAAAAAATCCTTTCAGGATGAGTTCGTTCCACTTCACTTCTCCAGATAATGTGCTTGCCATCTCTTCTTCTTACCCCTTCTACAGCCCTTTGACTTCTCAGTCTATCTCATTAGGCTCTGGATGTGTCCTGTCGTCATGGATGTAAATTGTAATTAGATTAATAATCCCAACCTCTACTGTTTTTTCTCTACAGTTCAGGTGTAATATTTCCTCATTTGAATGAAAATACTTTTTTACTGACTTTGGGTTCCCTTAGGAAGGTAACAGGGAAGTTAAGCATGCTAGCGAGACTGTCAAACAAATGTCCTCTCAACTCAGGAGTGAGCAGCTGACCTGTCATTTGACAGATAGGCGGTCACAGCAGAAGAAAGCTCCGTTACTTCCAAAATATTCAGAGATTCTATTTCATTGCTGCAGTTAAGGATCTAAAAACCAAACCACGGGGGAAAAAATTTTACAGATACTTTCATCCTGCACTTTGAACCAATTAAGCAATGCAGGTTTCATTGCCTTCAGTGGTGGCACTCACATAGCTGAAATTAAGCACATGCTGATGTGTATTGCTCAATGGGGTCAGAGCACTTAGCACCTTGCAGCATTCAGCACCAGATGAAATACGTATTACAGTAGGTATTTCTGAAGTTAAGTCCATGTATTCTTTCCATCTACTGCATTAATTTATGGAGTAAAATATCAGGTAACATATGAAATAAAAAAAAAATATAAAAAAAAGCTTTCTTGCCTTATGTTACCACAAAAGTAAAAGAACAATACACATTCTCAGATCAGTTTTAATTAATAGGAATCACAAGACAGAGATCAGTAGTATGAGACAGCTCTTACATTCATGCTGATCTGTTACTTCCACACAGAAGCCATTTAATGTTGTCCAAGCTCAGGTGGGTTTGCTTGTGTATATCCCCAAAGAAACATTCTCAGTGATTTCTCCAAGAAATTTCACAAGAAACCTGGCATAAGGCAAACTGAGTTCACCAGATGCTAGACTAATACTTCAACCCTTGCACTGTTGGTCCTGTGTGCTTTGCTCTGTCACTTATCTGCCTCAGCTGACACATTTGTAAAAGCTGTGGTGCCAAATTTGACTAACTTTTGCCAATTTTCTGCCAGCTGAAAAACCTTTAAATCCACATATCCTAAATGGCAGAAGCAGCAGCTCTGGAATTTGTTCTGTGAGGGATAAAAGCAGTTTTCTTACAAGCTTTAGAGCCCATTTTTTGCCGCAAAACAAAGGAAAATACAAAAAAAGAGGACAAACATCAACTCAGACTGCAATGGGAAACTGATAAAAGGAAATAATTCTAACGGCCAAACCTTGCTTCTGACAGCAGTAGATATTTGATCTGCTGGTGGCATCTGCTGTTGCATTTTGAAGTTATTTGCGCCAGTGAACAGTGAGTGCAAAAGAGTGCCACCCCTCTTTGAACTCTTTTTGGCTGTAGGAGGTGTAAAGCAATGGAGAATCTCTTCAGTGTTGGCCGAGTCATACACATGCATCTGAAGGGGGAACCCAGCCCTCTATTCAGCTCCCTTGCAAGAGAAGTCCATTAAACACAAAGACACCCTGATGGCACTACCTTACAAACCATGGACATCTGGAAGACAAATTCTGGGCACATTTGGCTGTACCTGTGTCTGCCTCTTATATTGTTCCCTGGGCAGCTGCTATGAGCTGCTGCCAGAGATGGGGACCTGGGCAAGGAAGGTGTCTGGCCTTAATGGGAGTGACTGTTCTTAGAGAAAGCAAAGGGAAACTGTCCCTACCTGTGTATGTTTTCCTCCAGCTTTTTCACCTTCAGCTCATTCTCTTCTGACTGCTTCCTTCTGGCTTCTTCCTCTTCTGCGGAGCCAGCAGGAATTCCCTGTAGCAGCCATTTTTCCCGAAGAGCTTTTGACTGTAAGGTAAAAAACCCCAAACCTTAGGAACAGACTGAACAAAAGCCATCTGAAGGCTGAGAAGGAGCTGGCTCCATTTCTGAATATTAGATTGTCCCCACTGAATTTCTGATTACTGCTTTAGACAGTTGATTTCAGGCAATCCATCAGCTTTTTATCCAGGTGTCAGGTCTTCCAGATTTAGGCGTGTCAGTTTTACAGTGTATGCTTTACTTACCATCAATGACTTAATGAGAAGTTATTTTTAGTTCCTAATAAAAAAAAGAGTTTTGAAATTAGCCAGTCCTGCACGCAGTGAAATCTTTGAACAAAAGTGTGGATCTCTTGTGAATGATAAGGCATGTCCTCGAAGGACTAAATCATAAACTTCTGAAAGCTTCAAAAACAAAAAAGCAGCGTGCTCTAAATGTAATTTGTTTCATGGAGGATAAAATCAGCCTGCTGTTAAATTAATAAAAGATGTTATCTTTAACTTATACCAGAGATGTGTCTCCATACATTTACAGGCATACAGACAGACAGACAGACACATTCACACAGGCACACACATCACCACTTCGCCAGACACAAACCAAAACAAATGAATGAAAGTCCTCCAGAAGCCATGGATATCCCAGGGCACAGCAACACTATTGCAGAGAGCAGCAATAGCCTACAACCAACAGAAAAACTCCTGGGAGTTTTGCTTTGCTTCCTAGTCCAAAAACATGGTTACAACCTCAGCAGGCCACTGACTAATCCAGCTGCAGCTCTCCCAGGAGAGGTTCACCAGTGGAGATGCACTGGCTGCAAGCAGTCCTTTAAGCAGCACATCAGCCTCTGTGTCTTGTTTGGCCCAAGCCCTGCCAGAGGGACGCAGCAGATCAGTTGGCAGACAGGACAAGCAGCTGTCGAAGGGAAGATCAGGAGCCCAAAGCCAGGCAGGACTTTGCCCCTTGGCAATCATAGAATCATAGTACTGTCCAGGCCAGAAGGGACCTCCAAAGGTCATCTAGTCTGACCTCCCCACAGTCAGCAGGGACACCCCCAACTAGACCAGGTTGCCCAGGGCCTCGTCGAACCTCACCTTGAATATCTCCAGGGATGGGACCTCAACCACCTCCCTGGGCAACCTGCTCCAGTGCTCCACCACCCTCACAGTGAAGAGCTTTCTCCTAATCTCCAATCGAAATCTGCTCCGCTCCAGCTTAAAGCCATTGCCCCTTGTCCTGTCGCTACAGGCCTTTGTAAACAGGCTCTCCCCAGCCTTCCTGCAGGCCCCCTTCAGGTACTGGAAGGCTGCCCTTAGGTCTCCCCGGAGCCTCCTCTTCTCGAGGCTGAACAACCCCAGCTCCCTCAGCCTGTCCTCGTAGCAGAGGTGCTCCAACCCCCTGATCATCATCGTGGCCCTCCTCTGGACCTGCTCCATCAGGTCCATGTCTTTCCTATATTGAGGGCTCCAGACCTGCACACAAGACTCCAGGTGAGGTCTCACCAGAGCAGAGTAAAGCGGAAGAATCACCTCTCTGGACCTGCTGACAATGCATCTTTTGATGCAGCCCAGGATGTGATTGGCCTTCTGGGCTGCAACTGCACACTGCCTGCTCATGTCCAGCTTCTCGTCCACAGCACCCCCAAGTCCCTTTCCTCAGGGATGCTTTCTAATACCTCACCCCCTAGTCTGTACTGATGGCGAGGATTGTTCCCGCCCAGGTACAGAACCTTGCACTTGTTCTTGTTGAACCTCATGAGGTTCACCTGGGCCCACCTCTCCAGCCTATCCAGGTCCTTCTGGATGACATGCCATCCCTCTGGTGTATCGACAACACCACACACCTTGGTGTCCTCTGCAAACTTGCTGACGGTGCCTTTAATCCCTCTGTCTATATCATGGATAAAAATGTTAAACAGTATCAGTCCCAGCACGGACCCTTGAGGGACACCACTTGTCACTGCTCTCCATCTGGACTTTGAGACACTGAGTACTACCCTCTGTATGCAACCAGATGGAAGATGGAAATGGAGATGGTGGAAAAACCAGTCAGCCAAGGGACCAACCATGCTAGTCCCTTGCATTGGCCAGAAAATTGGAGCCTTCGTTTTGAATTTGAGAAGGGATCTGCAGTGCTAGTTCAAGGAGACAGCTGTGAGAGTGTGTATCCTCTCCAACAAAGAGAAGCTGATAAAGAAATCAACAGTTCAAAAAAACTGAGTTTCATAGTCAGAGTTCAGAGTTTTCAGATCAGTCTTTTCAATGCCATGTTTGTCGCTGGAATGGAACTTGACTTGTGCAAATGATGTATAACAGGAAAACATCCACCACCAAAAGTAGGCTTCAAACCCAGCCCAAAATAGAAAGATTTTTGACATGACAGACAAGGCTTACTTGTTAGTTTTTGTGTGTATATATAGACATAGTATCTATGCACAAACTATTCTTGTCACTCCATGCCCTATTTGACATCAGGCAATTAGGTTTTAATAAGGCAGCAGACAGAATGCAATACAAAACGCAGAAGCGAATTAGACTGTATGAATGACTCCAGCTTTCACTGACCTGAGCTGTGCTGTGCACCAGAGGACTTCTAGGTGGGTTTTAAGTGATTTCTATAGGAATTAGGACTCCTGCATGACAGAAAATGTCTCGTGCTCTTGTACCATGCAGTCATGTTCAACAGTCAAATTCTCTGATGCCGGAGACACACTTTACCTGGCTGAACTCAGCTTTGCCCGTGGCCTCCAAAGTATTAGTTCACACAACATTAGGGATGGCCATCTCCAGACATGGTTTCTGCAGTTTGCTGCTCCTTTTGCTGACACTGCCATCTACCAGTACCTCCTGCTGCATTTCGTGGGCTGGTAGTGAGATTTCTCTGTGGGACCTTTGCTTTCCTGTTCAGCCCAGCTGATCACTGACCAGAAGTTTCATCGGCTCATTCAGGCCCAATGTACTATTGAAATGTGCCCCCCCAGCAGAGGACCCCCAAGTCATCACATGTACCAAGAGAGAAAGTGAGACAGTCAAAGATGGATTTACAGATCCTGAGGTGCTAAGTATTTAACAGCCTGTGCTTTGACATTTAGGAGGTCTCAGTAGCACAACTTGGTGAGTACCTGCTGGGCTAGATCCAGTGCAAAGCGGTGTGAAGGCTGATTGGTCTTCAGAAAATTGCTATCTGTCCTTAAAAATGAAATGTGGGCAGTTGCATGTGGAACTATGTTGCTACATGTGTCACCCTGAGTTGTGTCTCCAATCTGAAATCCCGAGTGATACTCAGCTGGGAAAAAAATCAACCCGAAGTTTCTAAACACCAAACTCTAAAGGTGAAGGCAACCTTCTCTGTTTTAAACCTGTTTTAGATATAGCTCCAGCAGTCCTAATAAAGCCTTTAGCAAACTGTTCCTTGGACAGCACTGAAGACATCCAGCTAACAGTCACGCTTCATTTGCTACAGGAGGACAGATAAAATCCAGGCTTTTTTCAATGCGCTTTCACAGAATCTCCATGCAGATGCTCAGACAGAGAGAAGCCAATCCCTTCAGTACAACTGCTGTACACCAAAACCATGATATGTTGTGTAGCTTCCGTTTTGGCCTTTGTTTATGTGAAACATTTTAGCTACAAAATCACATGATTGCTTTCTCCCAGAAGTCTTTTCTTTTGACCTATTAATAGCATGAATTTGAAACTGGAAAGCATCAATGGGATTTTTAAAAAGACATATTTAGAGACAAGAATGCTATGATCTACTAAAAATCCTCCCTCTTGGATGAAATGTCAGCATATTTTATCTAAAACAGGAAAGCTGGTAGCTTTGATGTTTCTGGCTCTCCTTTTTAAGATGAAAATTAAGGCATTCGTTAAATACTACACTGAGGAATCCAGACGAGAAGACTCTGAGAGAAGGAAACATTTATAAGAAGCAGTTCTTAAAATTCAGAGGTTCTATTTGCCAGGCTGTTGAGGTTACGTGTATTTATACACCCACTGCAGATACAATAGGCAAACAGGCAGGCGCACACCAGGGGACTGCACAAGCCGTCTCGCTGTCCGGGAAACATCTTCTCCCCTGCCAGATGTCTAAAATAGTGCTGAGGCAGTGGGTAGGGATGGAATAATCTCTCACCTGCTTTGAACAAACCTTTCCCAGGACGTTTTCATCAGAAAACTGGGGGGAAGGCTTTGGCACACATGGTGAGACCAAGGGTGGGCAGGGCGTGATAAGGGAAGAGGTGGTGGAGCTGCGTTGGGTGCTTGGGCACAGCTCCTGGGTATGAGACACTCCAGCGAGGCAGTCAGCATCGAGGCGGTCCAGCCAGATGCAAACCAGAGCCAGATGTGCCTTGGAAACAAAAGACGGTTGGCTGCCATCTGTCCTCCATAGCTACAAAATCCGGGTTATGCTGCTTGAAAAAATTTTGCAAAATCTTTTCCCGGGAAGCATGAAGGGGTGTTTCTCAAATCTGCTAAAAGGAAAATGCTTGCATGAGGATGGAGCCTAAAAATAGCTAGCTGTACGAGTTCCTCCTGCTTAACAATGTTGTGCATTTGCTTTATTTAAGTCTGTGATTAAAATTGCCACAAGCTAGTATTTCAGCATTGCTCCTCCTTCATTGTCTGTTACGAGCTTTAACTCTCTACTCCATCTTGGAGCTTCTTTTATGCACCAAAGTTGTGCTGTATGATTAGACATTGTCAAAATGATAAAGGGCTCTGAAAGTGGCCAGATATACTATTGTAAAAATGCAGGCATTTGTACAGCTCATTCCACTAGTGGAATGTGAATATGCTGTACTTTCAGAAGGCACCATTTCACTGGTACTACAGCAGCTACTCTATGTACAGTTTGGTATAAGAATTCCTTCATTTGCTCCAAGAGTACAATTTCTTCAGGGCTAAATCCTTCAGCAGAAATTAGATCATGTCATTAAAAAGGCTCTCTGTTACTGAAGTGGAAAGGGCACTGGGCTTGCGATGCTCTAGGTCACTACTGCTCTCAGGTGATTTGGTCTCTCTGCA